ATATTAGAGATGATTAGCAGCAATTATGTTTGAATGGAAGGATGGAAGGGGGTTTTTAATGGACTGCAGATCTCATGGGTTCCTGATGGTGTTTTTCAAATGATCACTCAATGGACATCCAAAGTAGGCCTACATAAATTTAAACCAAAATTGTTTATTTTGTGGCGATTATGCGTGGATATTATAAACTTGGCTCATGAATATTAATTAAATGACATACCATTCTACCTTATTTGCTGGAGGGCATTAAAGTAAGTCTTTAATGCACAAAATCCTCGAAATTCTTCAGACAGAAACAAGCCGATTTAAGTTCTACGAATTGGCTGATTTGAACTTACAACCTTGCACAGTGGTTTGAAAACTTCACCAGTAGTAGTCTGCACTACTGCAAGCATGAAAAAAAAACACTTCCTTAGGTGCACAACAAATGGCTTTGCCCTTAAAATTGTTTTTCTTTGTGGTCATATGGAGAAGCCAGTGAGAAAGTGCTTTTGGACACTGATTGGTAATGATGGGAGGCTTTGTAGTAGGTTCTTGGTTAACGTGTGGCTCACTCTTTGTTTGCTTCTAGGCCTGTTGAAATTCTGCACTGTGGGGTTCTGTGGAATTGGAAGCTTAGTGGACTTCATGTTGATATCCATGCAGGTAAGGATTTTGACCCATTTATTGATGTATGCATTTCCTTCTGCCTTTTTTTCCTCAAAGGTTGATCCATTTTGTTTTATTTTGGTCAGGATTTTATTTATTTTTTTGCAACTGTCATGAAATGTCTGGTTCATATTTCAAGAAAAAATAAACAGTTTGTTATTTAGGAATTCTTTTTTATTCTTTTTTTAAAAAGGAATTATATTTATATTATATAAATAAAAAAATAAATATATTTAATTTTTGATTATAATGTAATTATTAATAATATTAATTTACATTTAAATTATTTATTTTAATTTTGCAGTGAAATATGACATTTCTTCACAAATCCTGCAAAGGGGTGATCTATGAGCTATCACCATTGTGCCATTTGATCAAGACCTTTAATAAATATACTGTAAGTCACTTTGGTTAAAAGCGTCTGCTAAATGATTACTAGATTACATTTAGCATATTAGGGGAGTAACCAGGGGAGGCACTTTACCCACAATCCCCTAAATGAGCTCCAGACACAGAGACTCAGCACTGGCTTGTACTTGAATGCTT